ATATCTCTCCATTCATTAATAATTTGTTTAATTTCCTTTAGCAATGTTTCATAGTTTTCAGTATACAGATATTCATATTGTTTGTTAGGTTAACAATTTTTATAGTTTTCAGTGTACAAGTATTTTATATTGCTGGTTAGTTATCCCTAAATAATTCATATTTTTGTTGCTATTATAAGTAATGCTGCTTTTAATTTTACTTTTCAATGGTTGAGTTTTGTACATTGATCTTGTATCCCGCAACCTTGATAAACTTGTTTATTAGTTCTCACAGTTTTAAAAGAAATAGATTACACTGGATTTTCTACGTAGACAATCAAGTTACCTGAGGGTAAAGTCATTTTAATTTTTTCCTTTCTAAACAAGGTGCCTTCTGCTTCTCTTTTTTATCTTATTGCACTGGTTATAATCTCCAATGTCAAATAAAAATGGTGAGAGCAGACATCTTATCTTCTTTCTGATCTTGATGGAAAGTAATCAGTCTTATACCATTAAAAATGGTGTTAGCTACAGGTTTTTCATAGATGCAATTTTGTTAGGTTGAAGTAGTTCTATTTCTAGTTTGTTGATACTTTATCAGGAATGGATGCTGAATCAAGTCATTTGCTTTTTCTCTATTAAGATGATCACATGATTTTTTTAAAGTTGGTAAATATGGTGAATTATATTGATTGATCTTTGAATGTTAAACCAGTCTTGCGTTCCTTTGTCATGATGCATCTTTTTGATATTTGGATGGACTCAATTTATTAAAATTTTGCTCAGAATTTTGGATCTATGTTCATGATCCAAGAGATCATGAGGCATATTGGCTTACAAGGGTTTTTGTTGTTGTTATTGGGTTTTCATGTCAGGGCAATGCTGTCTGCATAGAGTGAATTAGGAAATGCGCCATTATTTTCAGTGTCATAGAAGGGTTTGAACAAAACTGCAACAATACAGGCACAGATTAGCTGGGTGCCTCTGGAGCGGGGTCTCTCATAAGAATGCACTGAACAGGTCAGCTATGGCTGCTGTCCTTCCAGGCTTCACTGGGGGGAAATTGCTTCTAAGCTCATTCACATGGCTGTTAACAGGCTTCAGATCTATTTTCCAGCTCACTGACGTGGCTGTTAGTAAACCTCAGGTCCTTGCTGCCTGCAGTCTGGAAACATCAGTTCTGTGCCATGTCGGCCTCTACAAAGGGCAGCTCACAACATGGCAGGTGTCTTCCCTCAGAGTAAGTGACTGAAAGAGTGAGATGGATCCAAGAAGAAAGCCATAATCTTTGTAACTTTGTCCCAAAAGTGACATCTTATTTATAAGCAAGTCAATAAGTTCAGCCTATACTCAAGGAGAGAGGATTTCACAAAAGTGTAAATATCAAAAGGTAGAAATGATTAAAGAACATCTTGTAGACTGCCTATCATAGTTGTTCTTAACATTACCTTATCATCCTTTAATACTTGTAGAATCTGAGGTGAGGTCACTTCTCCCTTTCTCATTTGGGTAATTATATCTTCCCTCCTTTTTTTCTTGATCACTTGAGCTAGCAGTTGGTCAATTTTATCAATCTTCATAAAGAGCTCTGGTTTCACTGCTTTTTTTTTTTCTGTTTTCTATTTTACCAACTTCTCTGATCTTTATTTCTTTCTTTCTTCTGCTTACTTTGGAGACCATTTGCCTTTTATTCTTTTCTTTTTTTTCTTTTTTCTGTTTTGTAAAGCAGATCTTTCTTCTTTTCTAATACAGAGTTTAGTGTTATAGTCCACACCCCACCCCAAACCTCCACCACCAAGCACTGCTTTAATGGCATCCAACAAATTTTGATATGTTGTATTTTCACTTTCATTCAGTTGAAAATACTTTATTTCTCTTTTGATTTCTCTCTTGTTTCTCTTTTGATTTCTCTCTTGTTTCTCTTTTGTTTTATTCCTTGACCATGAGTTATTTTAAAGTGTTCTATCTAGCTTCCAGATATTTCAGTATTTTCCAGAGATTTTTCTGTTATGGATTTCTAATTTAATTCCATTGTGATCAGAAAACTTACTCTGTATGATGTGAATCCTTTTAAATTTAATGAGAATTCTTCTATGTCCCAGAATATGAGCTACCTTGGTAAATATTCCATGTATACTTGAAAGAATGTGTATGCTACAGGTGTTGGGTGAAGGGTTAGGTAGATATCCATTAGGTTAAGTTGGTTGACAGGGCTATTCAAGTCTTCTATATCTTTACTGATTTTCTCTTAAGACTACATTTTAAAATGTTATCAAAAATGTAATATATGCAACTGAACTTGAATATTATTATATCACTTAGTTTTATTAAAATGTTTTTCTTTCCTCTGGCACAAATGTGTCAGAGACCACAGAACTGGAATGAAATGAAGCATCTAACTCTGATTCTGTACCTTTGAACAAATTTTATCATTTAAGAAAGCACTTTTGAAAGTGGGTTATCTTATCTTTCCTTATCTGGGCTTGCAAACTACGTAATTGCAAAATATGTTTTCATTCATAGTGCTTCTTAATATTTTATTCTTCATGCCAAGCCATGCTTCCACAACAAGCAAGACAGACAGCAAATATAGTTGTTCTACTACAACACTATTTACAAGTGTTCCTATTTTAACAGGATATACAAGTGATTTTAAAATCTTGCACTGTACAAAATTATGTATAAAAATAATGTGTTTTGGGAAAAATATCATGGGCCATAAAATTGAAACATATTTAACTTTGTAATCAGAATACTAATAAACATAATAACTATCCCCATTAAAATACTAGCACCTGGTAAATGTTCACTATCATTTGTACCCAGGATCATAGCTGATTTTTATAGTCTTAAATCTGCAAGATGTAGGTCCTCAAGGGCATTTCCCTCCTATAAATAATATTACCATCAAAATCTGCTCTGGATCTGTGCTTTCTTTAACAATCAATTATTTTAAAGCACAAGGGAAATATCTTTTCTGCTTCTTAATCTATTCCTATGGCTTCACCAGACAGCTTCATGTTGTAGGAAGGACACCGGTTTTTGAAGCCATTAAATCAGCTGCTATTCGTTGTAATGGAAGGCAGTGCCATTGTATTCTTAGCTTAAGGCTTCCTTTCTCAACTATAAGAAAGCTTGTGCTTGAATTCTTTAAACCATTGATTTTTCTGGGGAAAAAATTACATATGAACCAATAATATTATTTTCTTATTTGCCAATCAGGAATTAATTTGCATTTAGAAGTGTGTTGCAGCTAAAAAGATGACTCCATAGTTCTTTGAGCTTGAAATGTGTGATTTTCCTAGTCATTTTCCTTTTTAATTTTTTTATTCTCACCTGAGGACATTTTTTCATTGCTTTTAGAGAGAAAGGGCATGAGAGGGAGAGAAAGAGAGAGAAACATTGATTGGTTGTCTCTATATGCGTCCCAATTGGGGATCAAACCTACAACCTAGGCATGTGCCCAAACCAGGGATTAAACCCGCAGCCTTTCAGTTTATGGGATGATGCTCCAACCAAATAAGTTACACCAGCCAGAGCTCTAGTCATTTTCTTGGAAGCAGCCACCAAAGGATTAAAATCTCCTTCCTCCTAGGATCCCTGAAAATATCTTTACTAAGTACCTATTATATTCCACAGTCTGTTCTATATGTTGGAAACAGTGGTGAACAAGACAGACAAGGTCCCTGTGTTCACAGTCTTCACAATTTGGTGGGGGATACAGATAATAAAAAGGTAAATCAATAAATATGGTAATATCAGGGAGTTATGCTTGCTATGAAGAAAATAAAACAGTGGTGGGGAATGGAATGAGATGTGGTGGCCAGGTGGCCATGGGGTAGAGGCTACATTAGGTTAAGATCATCAGGGAAGGCTTCTCTGAAGAGGTGACATTTGAGCTAACACCTATACAATGAGAAGTAACTAGTCATGGGAAGATCTGGAGAAGACTGTTAGGTAGTGAGAATATTACGGAGCCTTGCGATTAGAGTGTGTTTAAGTGTAACTGAGGAAGAGAATGAAAGTGGCTGGTGCATGTTTAGGAGTATACTCAGGACAGTGTGCAACATTTCACTGCCATGTAGAAGTTGACCCAGCAGATCAAGTCTCTGATGCTTAAAAATTTCGTGTCCTCCATGCTTCAAATGGCCAATGGCACCCCAAAATGCCTGCTAGACAAATTCAACAGACTGATCCTTGTCTGAATGCCAAAACCAGGTAATGGAGCACGATACACTTGATCACTACCAAGTGTAAGGCTGGAGTGGGGCCAGACAAGCTTGGCTTCTCTGAGGGATTTGTTGAAATCTGATGTGGGCTCTATCCAGAAAAAAACAGCTGTAGGGCAGGGAAAGAGGGCTGGAGGCAACCTGGGATAGCGGGGCAGGATGAGGGTGCAGAGCGTTAGAGTGAAGAGATGGAACGGTCCCTAAGGGAAGGATCAAATAGCAGTGAAGGCAAGATTCTGCAAGTCCCTTCAGAAGAGAGTCCTCATTTGTTTCTTTTGCCAACCCCAGAAGTCATAGCTCCTTACCCTGATGAGCCAGTGACTTCCCAACCAGGCGGAATTATCTAGCAGAACAGCCAGGTAGCAGGGCTTCACTATTGTGCAGAAACCTTAACCCACTCAGACTGATTCCAGTTATGCTGCCATAAACTTTAGTGTTGCTTTGGAAGATTCCTCTACATACGCTCTGTTTTTAATATAAATACCTCATCTTCTTAGAAGGATTTTACCCTCCTTTATGAGGAGAGACTCTTCACTCTCTTTTTGAGAGGGGATACTTGTAGTAGGTAGCACAACCTTGGGCTAGGTCTTTCTCCTTTTCAAGAGGGAACTGTACCATAAGGCCAGGGCCATTTAGCAGGGAACTTCTTACATAGTTTAATGCCACAGTAGGAGATAAGCTTTATGGATTACGGATCCCAGCTATCTGCTTATAGTGCCAAAATGATACTAACACTCTGGGTTTCATAATCCAGGCTGTGGGAGATGAGAAACGAGGCACGGGCCTGCTTACCTGTTCTTTCTGTAGCGAACTGTGAAGCCAAGAAAGAAGACTATCAAAAGAAGTCCACAGCTGAGAAAAGTCCACACAATGCCCAAGAGGACAGGAGATAATGAAGAAATTGTCTTACTGCTGTGGTGGGAAGACGTCTGAGAACAGAAGAAAGAGAAGCTGTTAGGAATGAAGGTTCTTCTGTAGATCAAACGTGACCTGCCCCCATCATCACCAAAGGCTGGAAGCACATGTCCTTCATAAGCATTTCCTCCTCCTCCCCCGCCCCCAACAACATGTATTTCTGAGCAGCTCTGACACCCATGGCTGCTTACTTACAATTGTTGTCTTGCAGAGATCATGAATGGGTCTCCGATCCAGCTCCTGGCCAGGAAAACTGTCACACAATTCAGAGCAGTTTATTTCAGGCTCCATGTCATTACATGGCCCTCTTGCTGCGCACTTCTTTAATCTTGGGTACTGGCTGGTAGGTAACAAGCAGATCTTTGACTAAAATGTAAGAGCACCTCAAATCTTTTCTTCAAAGGTACCATTTTGGAGCTGGTTCCTCGCTCAAAACGTGGGATGAACAACCCATTCAGGTGGAAGTGGAGGGTTATTTCACTGAGCTCCTTCATCGGCTTCCCTCCAGGTTCTGGTCCCCTGTTGCCTGTGCATATTATGTGTGTTAGGAGTGGGCATCTTAATGACCACAAAGTGATGATTTTGGCTTGCCACCAGATGGCAGTCACTGCTCCAAGCACTCTCACACAGGTCCCCAAGGAAAAGAAAGCAATTAAACCTGTTAACCAATTATATAAATACAAATTATATATATATACACACACAAAAACACAAATATACCTATATACATATATGTATAAATGGTTTATTAGAGATTCAAATGCTTTATATATTTTAATTATATAGTTACATTTTTATTATATATATAGTTATATACTTTATTACATATAACAAAGATTTAAGATTAAATATATACTTAAACAAATACATTTAAACCTCTTTAATAAGCAATAATTTGAAAACAATGACAAAGCACATCTGACAATTAGATATAAAGCTTTATAGATATAAAACCCTACAGTCTCTCTTCAGATCCTTTTTATGGCCCAGCACTGTAAAAACTTTAGTTTAGACATGTGAGGCACATCTTCCTTTTTTCCCTACTGAGAAATCCTCTGCCCTTACAAGGTCTTTCCATGCAACTCGTGGCTTAAGCTCCGTCTGATCCTGGGAGGTGGTGGACTCTGGCGTCCTGCTCTGTCTGCCTGCAATGTCTGTTAGCCACTCTGGCTCTTGTTCTCTCAGGGAGTGGGGGAACTTTCTATGCCCATTCAGCTGGGGTCACAGGAGGATACATAAGCCTTTTGCCAATAGCTTTTTGTTTGTTTTCAAACTGTTAGAGTACTAGAAGTGGGATAGACTACTCAGGTAGTAGGGAGAGAAACTGAAGACTCTAGGAATGCCCACACAGTGGGTGAGTGGCCAGAGAATGGCATTCTTTCTCCCAAAAGATGCTTGCAATATGGATATTGTGATCTAAAAGAGAAGCTCTTCCTTACAGAACCAAGTATTAATGCAGAAAGGCTCAAATTAGCTCCAACACAAAAGGTAGACAGGTCCTTAGTTCTTTAAAGAAATCTATTGCTTAATGCAGAAAACAGACTTGAAATTTTACCAGTGGAAATGTATAAGAGGATACCATTTTTGCTTTGTGTTTTTGAAACAGCTTAGCACAGCTTTCTTTTATTGTGGAGAAAAATTGGAAGAGGAAAAAAATATCAATTATTATTTCAGTAGCTACAGAATATAGGACTTGTGTTTAAGCCAGAACAATAGTGACAGGTGTAGAATGCCATCTTTGGATTCTGCATGCTTAGGCATGAACAATATAGCACCAGGTGCTGCCCATTCTTTGGCCTCTCATATGGTCCTGAATTATTTACCAGGTTCATTACAATGAAATCCCAAGAGTATAAATAGCCACTATCTCCAGTCAAGATATTTAAATTCTTGTGCAGTTTAGTCAGATAAATGAGTGCCAAATTAAGAAGTAAATATAAAAATACAACTATCTGCATCCTAATATAGTTGAAATTGCTGAAAACACCATTTTTCTTTTTCTTTATTTAAAGTTAAACATTCCCTATTGTGCCTTCTTATGTAAGAGTAATAGTATAAGCCACAGGGAGTCCTGTACCACATTGATAGATTATATTTGAACAATTATCAAGTCCATGTTTGTGTAACCTTAAATCATATTGAAGTATATATCAGTGTGTGTATATAAAACCTCATTGTCTTCTCACTACAACAGCATCATGGGAGGTAAACAACACCAATCCCTCATTTTCAAGTGAGAAAACTTAAGAGCAGAGAAGTGGAGAAACTGGCTCTAAATCTGCACAGGACGTTCCGAAGTCAATGTCCTCCCTACATGAAGCAGACACTCTGGACTGACTTCTCCCAATAAGTCACCAAATGGTCTGATGGGCTTTTCATGTTCAGTGCCCAGAGCTTCACTACTATGGGTTCCCTGGAGCATCTATACCAATAGTTCTTCACTGGAGTGATTTTGCACCTCCAGAGGACATCTGGCAATGTCTGGAGACATTGTTGTTGTCAAAACTAAAAAGAGAGGAGGGTACTACTGACATCTAGCAGGTAAAGGCCAGTGACGCTGCTAAACATCCTTCAATTCACAGGATGGTCCAAAGAACAAAGAATTATCTGGCCTCAAATGTCAATCATGCCAAGGTTGAGAAACCCTGGTCAATACTGTGGATCCTAGAAGGCTAACAATCTTAAGCCCAAATCATCCTTGGGAGAGTCTGTGAATAAAATAGGGCTGTCCATCTGAACATAAATTCCCTAGGGTATAAATTTCTGAGTACATTTCCAAGGTCTGCTTGAGCAGACTGAACTCACTGGCATGGAACTTTGAGGGCAAAGTCCCCCTTCAGTCCATGGATATCCACTGCAGAAACTACATAACGTGATACTGGGCAGGCACTCAACTCCAGTGTCAGCACATATTCACAGAGATTCACATGTCAAGAGCTGGTGAAACAGTGAATGGCTCATTCATTGGGAGGAGAGAGTTGAATGATTTCAAAAAGTGTTAAGTGATTAGAAAAATGGTTTCCATACGACATGAGCAAATAGATACATTACTTGAAGTAACTCAACCTCAGGTTACCCACTAAAAAAGATAAACTGTGTAATCAACACCACATGCAAATGCATCAAAAATGTATGAATTCAAACCGCCACCACCAACAGCATTGTACGAGATGTTCACTAAGGTTCCTTCTGGCACCAATATTGTCTGAGGTATTAGCTCTCTGTTAACTATGCTAATGTAGGCAGCAGATACATGAGTAATTATAAACAGCAAGGAATGTAAAATGCATTTTTAATTACCTTTGAGTGCACTGTGTTATGTTCTGGTAGCAGATTTACAAACATCCTGAATATGGGTCACTTATACTAATAGTAAATTCACTTCTATTCTCTGAGCATATGTACACTGCTTTTCATGGGGACAGCAAGATGCACACAGGGCAATGGGGATTCAGCCTCTCCTAACACCACCTGCCATATAAGTCCTCAGTGGAGAAGATGGTTCACAGTTGTACATACTTCCTAAGAGAGCATGGACATGAATTTGGGTGGGAAAGTATTGCATATCAAGGAAGAGATACTTCAGCCAGGGAAAGAAAGTGAAGTAATAGATATGGTGGAGCTGGAAGAAACCTCAGATATCTAAAAGTCCAATCTCATCTCTTCATTTTATGCATCAGAAATCAGCCCCATGGAGGTTGAGAGGCTCAGGATCACACAGTGAGTGTAGGAATAGACTCTAGGTCTCCCAAGTTCAGTGCTCTTTCTATACTACTTTAAAGAACCTTTAAAGGAAGTTACAGATAGCCTTTCACACATTTGGAACAGGTGGGGTGGAGGCCTGGGCTTGGGAAAGCAGGCAGGGTCATAAGGGCAACAGCTTAGGGCTTGGTGAGAAGTCTGTGGAAGAGGTCCAAGGAGATAAGAAACCCACTGGAAGGGGAAAAAATACTCTCTTGAGAGAGTGTAAGTCTTGGAACTTGTACGTTTTCTCCTCAACAGGGTAAAGTGGACTGAGTTAATCTGCTTCTCAGAACCTGATATTTGCCTTACAAAAGAGGGAGAGATAGTAAAAATTTCCTTTTAAAGCTTTTGAAGTATCTCCAATAGAGGTCTGCACACACTTTCGTGGTTTCTGAATAGCCACCCCAAGGGCCCTGAAGCTGGGCTCCCACAGGGATGCTTTATTCACCTGAAGGGAGAGCAGGAGGAGGAGAGGTGGCTGCCCCCATCACGTCTCTCCTAGGGAATTTTAAAGCAGAATGGGTTCACTTGGTGTCCCTTGTCAGGAGTGGAGGTGGGTGGGGAGGAGGGAAGGAGAGCGGATTTCATGCATTCCCTTAATCTTATATGGATCCCAAAGAAAACAGAGTTCTGAGATCCTTGGGCTTTGTATGACTTTTTGAACTGTCCTACCATCCTTTCCTGATCCCGGTGTTCCAAAGCCTCTCCCCTCCTAAGCTTCCCAGAACACAGCGATCTTCCCACAGTCTGGAGAACATTTTTGCTCAACATTATACAAAGTTGTTCACAACCTCTTAGTTTCATACTACTTGTAACTTTTCTTCTACTAAACCTGATTTCTCCATTTGTTATACAGTATTTAAACTTTTCTGGTTGCTAGGTACAATTATAATGAATCAGGCTACTGGATTGGGTCCCCCATAGGATCTGGGAAACAGTGTTGTAAATAGTAAGTTTACTGTAAACAGTAGGTCAGCTAAATAGAGGACACATCCCTGAGCCCTTGTCTGATTCAGCGCTCCATCCCAGTACTAGGAATTTGGTTTCACTTCACATATCCTAGGACTAGCAGGTGTAATGAGTAGCATTGCACCGACAAACCTGAGGCTGAATTTAAGTCTCAATGCCAACATTTTCTGTGGCTTCAGTTAGTTACCTAAGTCATCTCTTATTTCTTAGATGCCTCTTCAATAAAATGAGGATGATACTATTTACATCTCAAAGAATTTGTTGGTGATTAAGTCATATGATATATGCAAATATAAGCTAGATCGTCAATAATCATCAGCTTCTTTCATTTCCATGGTGTATAAGAATCATCTGTACAGAAGACTAGGGGCACGTAACTGAGGTTATCTATCTTGTTTCTCTAAATTTCCTAACAGAATCCCAAGTTATGAATCATTAACATATCTTCTAACACAAAGAATATTTTTTATACTGTATTCAAAATCAGATTTGGTAAAAATAATGAATTATAGATCCTTAATTGTAGAGACCATAATGAACTATTATGTGCTAGTCACTATGCTAAGAGCTGGGGATGTGGCAGGGAACAAGCCAACATGATCTTGCTCTAGTACCTAGCACAGTGCCTGGTATGAAGTTGATGATCAGTATCTATTTGTTGAAGTGGACCAAAGACATTTAGAAAAC